TGAAAATGTATCCTCTCGTATAAACTAGTGAATTACCCGTGCTATGCCCGGGAGAAAAAGAACAAAATATTTGTCGTTCGCCGTGGTTAGTTAATCGCACTGCAAATCTTATATTTACAAAAATATGTGTTGTTATCTTGTTTTATATTTCAGGTGGAAAAAACTACAACATTGACACAAAACTTTGTACATGTCAACCACAAACAAAAATCTGCTATCCAGAGTGATCAATATTATGCAAATCAAATATAGTCATCTACTCGATGAGTTATGTAAAAAATAAATACGCCATAGTCACAATTAGGTTTTTATATTTTATATGAGAGATAGACATTCATTTATTACAATCAGATTTAAAAATAATAATAAATAATTATTTTTTGCAAGGATTTGTGTCGTTTGTATTTGAAATTTTACAAATTTGTATTTAGAAAAATTAAAATCATATTTAGGAATTTTTTTTTTTTTGGTAATCAGATTTATGAATTTAATTATAAAAGAAAAAGGATAAAATTTTAATTTAATTATAAAAATGTGTTGTGGACCAGCCCTCTGGGTCGAACCCAGTTTCTCACCTCTAACTATTAGCATGTAATATATTTTTAAATTTATCCACACAAAAAAGCTATTATAGTTGCGTCAATGTTTTTATATTTTATCTCATAGATGAACTTTAATTTATTACAATTAGATTTATAAAATAATAATAAATAGTTATTTTTTAGCAAGGATTTATGTCGTTAGTATTTTGAATTTTACCAATTTATATTTACAAAAATTGAAATCATATTTAGGAATTTAAATATAAAAGAAGAAGGATGAATTTTTTTTTTTTGGTAAGGCAAGGATGAAATTTTAATTTACTTATAAAAATGTGTTGGTGGGGCCGGCCCGGAGCCCAGTTTTGTCACCTCTAACTATTAGCATGTAATAAATTTTTATGTTTATCCACACAAAAAAGACTCTTATAGTTGCGTCTAGGTTTTTATATTTTATCTCAGAGATGAACTTTCATTTATTACAATTAGATTTACAAAATAATAATAAATAGTTATTTTTTTGTAAGAATTTGTGTCGTTAATATTTAAAATTTTATAAATTTATATTTACAAAAAATGAAATCCAAATTAGGAATTTAATTATAAAAGAAGAATAGTGGAATTTTAATTTAATTATAAAAATGTGTTGGCAGACGAGGTGGGCAGGCCCTCTGGGCCAAGCTCGGTTTGCAAGCTTTAACCATCAGTTTTTGATAATTTCAGTTTTTGCTTTATATTCTTTTCCCACCTATCAAGTTCAAAAATCAAATTTAAAAAGTTTGAATTATATATATTAAATATTTCCCTCCAATAGATATAATAAATAATATTATTAACATGCTTAACAATTTTCTATGCAAAAAATAATGAGAAACATTAAAATAGTCTGTAAAATACTTAATGACAAACATCTTTTTACGATGCAGGAGTTGAATGGTAAGTGGTCACTGAATGGTCATTCATTTTTATAGTTATTAAATTTTTATATTTTATTTTATACAAAATGATAGATGTAATTTTTTTTATTAATTTTACATATTATTCGAAAAAATAATCTTTTTTATCTTTTAATTTATAATTTTTAGATTAGATTTACGTATAAAATATTTATGTTAATTTTTTTTAAGTAAATAATATTTTTTTATGCAGCATTAATATAGTTAGCAATTACCCATGTAGAAAGTAAAGGGATAATGTCTACAAAAAAAGTAATGAGATAATAAATGAGTTGTGGCAGACACCAACAATTGTTCAAATATTTTTTCACCCTTTAAAATTCAAATTTAAAGTGGAAGATAAGATCAGAAGAATTTAAATACCCAACTGCACAATCAAGAGAGTGACACTGAGAACGATTCAAAACCCAAACGATTCACATTGACGCTTCAATGTCACCATTTCGTATGACGCGCTATGTTTAATGATGGATATATATCATCGGCTGACCACATCCATTGGAACATGGAATGTCGCAGGTAAATTCACCCATTGGATATATCATCGGCTGCCCACATCCAGTGTTATCATTATTAATGGAAAAAAATCTCAATGACAGAGTCGCATGCTTTTAGGGGGTGTTTGTTTCATGTTTTTGGAGAGGATTACCGGTAATCTTTTTTTGGTAAATGTAATTATCATGTTTGGTAGAATGAATAAATTACGATTCCCGGATATCCAAGGATTACCGGTAATTTGATTTATAAAGAAAAGTCACTGTTCATATTACCAAAAATAATATGGTAATTCGGAATACCAATCAAAATACCAAGCAAAAGGAAAGCACAACAATAAATTTTGAGACAAAAATACCCCAATACACATAAAAATCTAGACCCAATCTATCAATTACAAAAGTAAAAATAGTTTGGGGTTATTTTTGTAAAATAACCTCATATTTCGTTCTAAATCAAATATGGAATCAGTAATTTTTACCCAATATTTCCGGTAATATTTTGGCGAACCAAACACCTCTTTCGTAAGATTCCAAGTAAACTCAACTTCTACTGAATTCCCATTAATCATGATTCGCGGTCACAAAAAAATTTCTCCTGTACCAAACACACCTTAAAGAAATGGACGATTTCCAAAAAAAAATCATGACTTTACGTGGATCAGTCATACTCCTGAATGACACTGTTTTAATGACCCACGCTTTCCATATACAGTCGTTCCATATTACACACTTGAGCTCCTTTTTATATTTTTTTAAACACATATTTAAAGTTTCAATTAAAAAAAATCAGAAGAAAAAGTTTGAATCAAAATTAATATTGATTCTGTAGATTTAAATTGTACGTTGGGATGTATTTCGTAGTTATAAATGTTATTTTTTTTGGATTCCACTGAATAAAGGTTAATAAAAATTCAAACTTTAAATTTTAAAAATAAGAAACAAAAATTTCAATTAAAACTACTTATTTTTTTAGATTTAAATCGTATCCTAATCTGTTTTTAGTAGTTATAAATGTTATTCCACACCAAAAAAAAATGTTATTTTTTGATGGATAAAAAAGAATTTTTTTGAATTCCACTGAATAAAGATTAATAAAAATTCAAATGGACTTAAATTTTAAAAATAAGAAACAAAAATTTGAATTAAAACTACTTATTTTTTTAAATTGAAATCGTATCCTAATCTCTTTTTAGTAGTTATAAATGTTATTTTTTGATGGATAAAAAAAGACATACTTTGAATTCCAATAATCAAAGTATAATAAAAATTGAAACTTTAAATGTCAAAAATAATAAACACAAATTTGAATTAAAACTACTTATTTTGTTACATTGAAATCGTATCATAACATGTTTGTAGTAGTTATAGACGTTTGTTTTTGTTTTTGTTTTTTGGATAAAAAAAGACATACTTTGAATTCCAATAATCAAAGTATAATAAAAAATGAAACTTTAAATTTTAAAAATAATAAACACAAATTTGAATTAAAAGTACTTATTTGGTTACATTGAAATCGTATCATAACATGTTTGTAGTAGTTATAGACGTTTTTTGTTGTTTTTTTTGGATAAAAAAAGACATACTTTGAATTCCAATAATCAAAGTATAATAAAAATTGAAACTTTAAATGTCAAAAATAATAAACACAAATTTGAATTAAAACTACTTATTTTGTTACATTGAAATCGTATCATAACATGTTTGTAGTAGTTATAGACGTTTTTTTTTTTGTATAAAAAAAGACATACTTTGAATTCCAATAATCAAAGTATAATAAAAAATGAAACTTTAAATTTTAAAAATAATAAACACAAATTTGAATTAAAAGTACTTATTTGGTTACATTGAAATCGTATCATAACATGTTTGTAGTAGTTATAGACGTTTTTTGTTGTTTTTTTGGATAAAAAAAGACATACTTTGAATTCCAATAATCAAAGTATAATAAAAATTGAAACTTTAAATGTCAAAAATAATAAACACAAATTTGAATTAAAACTACTTATTTTGTTACATTGAAATTGTATCATAACATGTTTGTAGTAGTTATAGACGTTTTTTTTTTGTATAAAAAAAGACATACTTTGAATTCCAATAATCAAAGTATAATAAAAAATGAAACTTTAAATTTTAAAAATAATAAACACAAATTTGAATTAAAAGTACTTATTTGGTTACATTGAAATCGTATCATAACATGTTTGTAGTAGTTATAGACGTTTTTTGTTGTCTTTTTGGATAAAAAAAGACATACTTTGAATTCCAATAATTAAAGTATAATAAAAATTGAAACTTTAAATTTTAAAAATAATAAACACAAATTTGAATTAATATATAAGAAAATGCTCCACATTTGCGTTCTTTAATGTTATCTAAATTTAATATATTTTTTAAAATTAAGATGCATAAGAAGGATAATATCTAAATTCCTTGTGAGCCTTTCTGTATAATTTTGTATAACTATTATAATGGTGTGGCATCCACTAAAAAAAAAAACAGCAATTCACTTCTACATCCCAAAGCCTCATTACAAATTATTCTTTGAGAATTTGATACAATAAAATTTGACATTTTTATTTTAACTTTCTTTTGAACTCTACAATTCGAATTTTTCCCATTAAAAAATGTTGAACTTTTTTTCCACCTATATCATGTTTAAAATTCGAATTTTGAAAAAGTAATGGAGTATTAATACAGATATTTGCCATCAATTAATGCTGAATTTTTTTTCACCTATATTAAGTTTAAAATTCAAATTTTAAAAGTTAGTGGGATTTTTCTTAGCATAATACAGATGTTGTGCATCATAGTTTTTGGCTCTTCTCCAAAGTATAACTTTTAATGTCATTGAATGTTTGCTCTTTTTTTGAGTTAAAACTGATTCCTATTATCAATAACTTTAATTAAAAGCAATCCTTATTTCCTAGGCAAAAGAGAGACATAATAACAATAACAATACACTTGATAGCAAATGCGTTATTTGAGAAGCACCATTCAATAGTTGACATTCATTCCCTCAAAGACAGAACGAAGAAGCTGATTCTTTGAAGCTGAGTAAGCAGACTCTCATCAGTTGGAAGCCTCAGGTCATCCTTGGTGCCACCATTATCAGTAAGCAGGCTCACCTATAACACATCATTCAAGTAGAGTTTTAGATAATAGAAGCAAAATAAGATTAATGGGTGAATCAAAGGAATTGTCAATAGAAACTCACAGAACTGAAGAACGATGAAACATAATAAAAAGTGCATACATCACAATTGTGGGAAGAGGGCACAATATCTTCAAGCTTCTTGCCAGTGAAAATATCAATTCCAACAAAGTGGCACTTAGCATGACCATGCTTACCAGTCTTGGAAGTTGAAACTTCAACAACCTATCATAAAGAGAACCCATTGATAACCATAAATCAGTATCACAAAAACCATAAATCAGTATTACAAAAAGTGCCAAAAAGAGAACGCAGCCCAACACATTAAAAAAAAATCCACACAAAACAATCAAATACGCAAGCAAAAAGTCAATTAACATCGATTAGTTAGTTGCTTAAATGCACAAGTTCGAAATCTAAGAAAAGCAATTAACCACATGATAAAAAGAAAAACTCAAATCAATACAGGAAGCACAAACAAAAGCATAAAAAGGAACACCATATGGAATTTGAGATTTCAACGGATAACAATTTTTTTTCTTTTTACAGTGAGAACTGCTTGAAGACCAAAACCTAATCATCTAAATCAACAACACAAATAGATCTCAAAAGCCAAATTATCCAACACATACATGATCAGGACCAAAATCAATTACTAAACCCTAAAGAATAAAACAAACAAATCTAAATCAAATTAATCCAGCATCATTAAATAAAACAAACAATCAAACACCGAAAAACAAAAACATAAATTCCTCCAAAAAAAACAACAAAGCAGAATAGATTAATGATTTGATTCGATTGAAATCAAGAGTAAACAAAAAAAGAAGAAGAGACCTTGCAGGGGCGAGCCTTGATGACGATGTAACCGTTTTTGCGAATGGTGCCAGCTTGCTGAGGATAGGTCTTGGAGGCTCCGGCATCAGCCTTGGACTCAAAATGGTGTTCCTCGTCCGACATGTCTCAACTCGAAGATGAACATAAAGGCCAGCTTGCTGAACCAGCTTGATGAACTTAACCAAGTCGTACCTATCCTTAAAATAATACTGTTTTTTTTCTTCAAAATATATGCATAAAGAAATGGGTGAGCAGTGAGAAAAAATGGGTGAGCAGTGGAAAAATAATAAAGTAAAAAAGAAAAGAAAAAGAAAAGCATTTGCATTACATTTCCAGGAGAAGGCTCGTGTCCATTCCAAAAGTTAATGTAGGTTTGAATAACATCTAAGCCTCCATCTTTGGCCTTCTGAATAAGGTCTGGCCACATCTGCAATCACTCGGAGGCAATGAGAAACAGAAAGTTGTTTACTTTGTACACCAGATAAGTGAAAATTCTTTGGTGAATGAATGAAAAAACGGGAAGAATAACAAATTTGATGCAACATATATTGAAAGGAGTGATTGAGTGAGTGAGTACCTCAGGTGTGCTGATTCCTTGAGGCTGTATGTTTTAACTGATACTAATTTAAAGATAAAAAACTTTATATTTGGATGTACATATTACCTTTCTGTAGAGAGACAATACCACCATTCTTCAATTTTGAAAAATCCAAGGAATTAACAATACTTAATAGGGGACGATCATGAGGTAATCCCAACCTTGAGTGCAAGGATCTCCTAACTTCAACTGCAGAAAGCATGAACAATTCATAAATCATGACACGTGCAGATAAAATAAATGAAGTAGAGTGGTAAAAAAAATTACCCTATCCATGCCAGAGTTCAACACCATACCTTGCTTCAGTTCTGTCTCCCCAAAACTCAGTTCATAGAATACAGTTACTGGATGCAGAAGAAAAAAGAGAACAATAAGTATCAAACACATATGTGAGCCAAAAAAAAAGAAGAAAAAACATTACTATGAAACAACATTATAACTAAATAAATAATAAAAAGTTAAAAGACAAAAAAAATTAAACAGAAATTACGATTATATATTCTTCATAGAAACAAAATCAATTTCTTTCATGAATTTCTCCAGATCCTTGAAAATGGCGTGAAGAAAGTGGAAATGGCGTGAAGAAATTATTGAAAAATAATAATAAAAAATGGAAGAAAGAGGAGATAACCATATACACTCAAAAAAATGGCGTGAAAAATATCTTCAAAGAAATCAGAGATTCAAATGGTTCTAAGCATATCCACTCAAACTCGATCTAATCTGCAAAACGCAAAGGAACACTATAAGATGCAAAAAGAACAACAAAAAATGAGAAAAATTTGATTAAATCTGCACGAAAAGAGAACGATGAAGAACAGGAGAAAGAACTACGAACAAAAAAATTGTGCACTGATAAAAAACGACGAACAGATAAAAAAAGAACAACTAAGAACAGAAGAACAGGAGAAAGAAGAAGATGAGAAGGCGTTTAGGGTTTTGTTAAATGTTTAACAATTTCAATGAAAAAAGCAGTTGAACATTTACTGAGTTGTCAGTTTTCAAAATTTAAATTTTTCTCTTTTCTTCCACATTTAAAATTTGAAAAGGATTATGAGCTGTGTCCCAATAAAGATGAGAACAGATCTAAACCATTGATTTTGGACAGCAAATCGTGGCCATCAATTTTGAGTCCAGATTATAATTTTTTTTGAATTTTTTTATTCCCTGAATTACCCAAAAAGGAAACTTTTTGAATTTTGGAGTGCGAAAGCAAACACGTGTCAGAAAGAGGAGCAACCACGTGTCAGAAGTTGCCAAAAATGGCTTTCTCTTAGAATATAAGATGGATCCTAAATAGTAAACGGCCCTCTCTCTAACGTATGTACCAACAAGTGTTTGATGAAATGATTGTAATAAAATAACTTTATTAGTGCAGCGCTTTCAAGTGTAGTATTGTTCGTTGCTTGGGTCAGTGTCTCACTGTTGCTCCCTTTCACCTTTTATTTTTCTCCCGTGCTGGCGCGAGGCACTTTGTTAATCTGGTTCGCGGACTAACTGTTCGACGAAATGCCTGAGCAATGCATTCCCTCACTGCACCCTCTCCTTCCTTGCTCTTCTTCCCCCACTTGACCCCTTCTCTGTTTCCCCCACTTTTCTTCTCATTTGGCTCGAGGAGGAGGGTGCAGCGGTTCGCGGCTCTGAGCGAGCTCGGTTTGGTTCTGAGGAAGGGGAATTTCTACAAGGGTTGGTGCTGGTCTTGCTCTGGGTTCCTGAGGCGTTGCAAGGTTTGGGACGAGAGCGAGGGAGATTTCTCATCTCTGGAGTCGGAGATTTTGGAGTTCATGCAGAATTCCAAGAACCCAGAAGCGTTTCCCACCAAGGAAGAGCTGGTTGCTGCTGGGAGGATGGATTTGGCTGAAGCCATTGTCAACAATGGAGGCTGGCTTGCGTTTGGGTGGGATTTGAATGAAGGGTCCCGTGAAATTGACGATTTTGAAGATGAGAAAAGCAATGGAATTGACGGTAATGCAACTCGTAGATGGGCTTCTGGGGTTGCTTCTTCTTCTTCGGCTAACTCTTCTCAACCAGCTAAATCAGTGTGAGAATCCCATTATAATTATGCATCCTGTTTCCCACTTTACCGTGTTTGTGCATGTTTTAAATTTCTCTTGCATTCGAATGTTCGTGGCTTGTGTTGTATAGGGAATGCTTTAACGGGACTGACAAGGTTTTCGAAGCTTTTGATTTGTAACAGTTTGTCTACACCTTTAATCTTGCAGCATCGAGCAAATGTGTCAGTTTAGTTATGGTTATAAGTTTCTCCCTTTTTTTCTTTCTTGCCACTGTATTGTTCCTATCGTCGAATGGATGAATTAGATGCAACTTCGAGCGGTATCCTAAGTGTTATGTTCTGTTTAATAGGGAATTAGAAGCTGAGGAATCCGGCATTGAGGGTATATTGAATCGGCTGGAGAAAGAGAGAAGTAGTTCTTTTGGACTTGGCTTCAGAGAGAAAGAAGTTAGTATTTCTTCGGAAAAGAATGAAGATAAAGATGAATGGGATCATAGAACCACAACTGATACAGTAAGTAAATGTTATACCCTTCAAATTAGTGTCCATTAATATTTACATCATATGCCAAAAGTGAAAAAATCATGAGCTGATGTTGGAGTTCTGGAACATTTGAATATTGAAATTGTTTTTATTTAACATTCATATTTCCAATGTTTCTTCTGTTATATATTTCTACCTGTCCTTTAAGCTAATTAAATGAACCTTTCAATGGGCTGTTGTACTTCGAAATTGAGAGAGATCGAATTATAAATTTTGAAATACTGCCTGTGGTTCTCCTCACTCAATTGAAAATTTAAAATATTAATTTTGGTGTCTCATATGTTGTAAAGGTATCTGCTGACCTTAAAAATAGTAGCAGACCATCCTCACTGAACCCAACAAGCAGTCCTCTCAGTGGTTTCCAGACCAAACTTGATCAGCACAAATCTCAATTAGGTACTGATGATTCAAGAAACTCACTTAAGCCAGAGATGTGGAGAAGTTGGATTATTCAGAGGACTGGTTTTTTGGATGCAGATTTTGAAGGTAATATTTTGCATGTTCAGGTTGTGTCTTTCTTAGTATTGTAGTCAGGATCAACTGATATCTTTGTAATTATGACATACAGATGCTGAAATTGTTCCCAATGAAACTCAGAAAGGAGGTTTGAGTGATGTTTCAGGACAACCTGATATCCTCAAAATAAGTGAGTTTTCTTGTGAATCTATAAACAGAGAAACAGGATTAGGTTCTCTTGGTCGAAATGCAAATCACAACGACATAAAATCCCGTATCCAGCATCTGGAGTCAGAGCTATCCTCTGTACTTGACTTGTTGAGGTCTAGCACGGATAAAGTTACAATGCAGATGGTGAGTATAATAACATAATAAGCTAATTATGGGACTTGCCAGTAAATTACCTTAACAAAAAGAAAAGAAATAGCACAAGATTTACATGTTTGCTGCCTGAGAGAGTCTCACTAACCTATTATCTTACCATGCCGGGGGTGGGGCAATGGTGGGAAGGGTGTAGTGATCTTAGTTTACAAATTAGCGAGAAGAAAAATAAGGAGATCAGAATTTGATGCATCTCTATTCGGGAGGGAGCAGAGGAGGCATAGTCTAGTACTGCAGTTTTTTAATTATTCATTTAAAAAAACACTAGTGCGGTTAGTTTATCTCATTTGTTGCATTTCTTATGCATTGTGATAAGTAACCACACAAAACCAAGGGAATCGTTAAAGGATACAAACACAGTCTGTTTATCAATTTTATCTTATAATATATATTAAATGGGATATATCAAACAATGTGAATGCACTAAAACTGTCAGCAATAAGTCTATCCAATATTTTTTATGAAAGAAGCTTAATTTTTGCTTCTTTATCCAATTTTGGAAACCTTTCATCTGTTGGGCATCTCTCTTTCTCTCTCAGGTCTTAGCACATATTTACACACATCTGCTGTGTAAATGGATTGACTGGTGTTAATGAAGAGTTTTACAAGCTCCCTTGGTTGATAAGCCAAGAAGAATTCAGTTCTTAGTATATTTAAGGCATTGAACAATTTTTATATGATTTATTAGTTGTAGGAGTAGCTACTAGCTACCACACATTAGTTTTGTTTACTGCAAAGAAGCTAGAAGAATAGAGTGGGATAGATTGGTGAATGGTGTGTCTTAGAACAAATAGGATGAAAGCTATAAGCAATGTAGAGGGTTAGATCCGTTTTTCGTCCTATATTTCAGATGACCCATTTTTAGTCATTTTCCTCAATATCTCCCTTTATTTCTTTCTTTACCTCTCCCTCTCTTTTTTTCTTTTCTTTCTCTTTTTACTCTTTTTTTTTTCTTCTCGTATTTATTTATTTTCTTTTTCTTCCTTTATTTTTATTTCTTTAATTTTTTTATTTCTTTTTCTCTTATATTTTTTTTTCTCTTATTTATCTTTATTTTTTTAATTGTTTATTGCTATTTTTAATTTCTAGTGTTATTTTTATTTTTTAAATTTTTTTTTTTTTTTTGCCTCAATCTTTTCGTAGTTTTTATTTGGATTCATCTAGTACCGATCACAACTAATTTGGGATAAATATATTATTGATGTTGAGTTTTTCATATACTGCTAACACTAATATGAATGCCTCCTCAGGATCCTGAACTAGTCCTGATTTGCCTGCTGTATATTCTTCAATAGGAACAGAAGAGCTCGTCTGATGATCTAGCAGAGCTTTCTGATGCTTGGGAATTCCAGGAAAATGAGATCATGAATGCTCAGGATAGACTGCGATCAATACGGGCTAATTTGGCAGTGTTAGAAGGAAAGATGGCATTGGCAATAATGTATCCTCTGACACCATTCAAAAAATGTCAATTATATATATTACCTAAATCTTGACAATACCACATTCTTTTCTCTCAGGGATGCACACAAGATAGTCAAAGAGAAACAGGAGAGGATCAATAATGCCCGCAGAGCTTTGCAAACTCTGAAGACTACTTGCGTAGTTTGGCCTAATACTGCTTCAGAAGTATTTTTAGCTGGATCATTTGATGGTTGGTCCACCCAGGTCCAATCTCTTTCTGAGAACTTTCAGTTAGATTATAATAGAAATTAATGTATCATGCAATACCGTGTGCATAGATGCACTAAAACTATGAGGTTAAGTATTGAACGGACAGTATTGCATTGCAGAGAAAGATGGAGAAGTTAAGTACTGGTTTATTTTCTGTGTGCTTGCAGCTGTATCCTGGAAAATATGAGGTTAGTCGTATTTTATCAACTAATGATTTCTTAAACCTGATGGTGTTGTGCCCAATAAGATATATGGAGCAGGCATTTTTATGATTTGGTTTTCTTTTTCAGATCAAGTTCATTGTTGATGGTGAATGGAAAATTGATCCGTTGCGCCCGGTTGTTAACAATAATGGCTATGAGAATAATCTTCTCGTCATTCATGATTGAAGTAACAGAAAGAATAAGCACGACACAGTATCTGGAGAACAAGAGGATGACATGCATTAGGTTAGTCAACCAATTTTTTCTTTTTTCCATATTTTCACTAGTGTACAAAATACACAGTGAGTAGTTCAGTGATTCTTTACCCTAGCACTTGTATAACTTCTGGAAGTAGATCTCTTGACTGATTACAAACTAATCCCATTTAGTCAGTTTTAGCATGTTCAATATAATTGTGTAATCGGTGCCGCACCGTAGCAAATTATACGAGTCCTGTTGGTAAATAGAGTCCATAACCACTTTCACTGGTTTCAATGGTCTTCTTCGCTTGCTTTCTGACTAATTGTAAAAGATGAGAAACGGTTCGTCTATGCATAATTTTACTGTTTTAGAAGTTGAGGCATCCATGCTTTAAGACCCACTTATTTTTTCATTCTCTCTAAATAATATTTATAAAAGCAATCTATCAAGTGAAAGTTTAAGATCCTGAATATAGGTAATCAAATGTTGGCGAGGGTGGACGGCGAGGGTAGAAGAAAACACTGGTTTCAAATCCCAGTCAAATCGAAACGATTATAATGATAGGGGAATTGTTTTCTTATGTTACATAAGATAAAAACACTTTCCTACACTCACATATAAAGAAATGGGACCCATTTATACATTTTCTCTCTCCCATATTCTCTCTCATCTCTCCTCTACATATGTGTGTAGGAAATTTTTGTTATCTTATGTAACATAAGAAAATAATTTCCCATAATTATAATAGAAAACCGAAAATTATAATAGGAGTGCTTTTCCTTTCATACTCTCTCGGAAGAAAGACAGTATTAAATGGACTAAGAGCCTGATTGGATGAGTTTTTTCTTTCTCCAAAAGTTACCTTTTTTAAGGAAAAAAAAAACTTCTAAAAAATCCGAGTTACAAGGAAAATGATATGGTGAGTGGCTACACGCTTAAATTGACGGGTTGAAGTCCAGTGAGGAATCTCATAGCCATGTTCTGTGAAACATGCCTCTGAAGGCTACTGATGATCATTGCCGCCTCCAGCCTACACTCTCAATAATAATCCATAAATTGGCAAGACTTGAATTGCTTTCCTCCATTAGTTTGTTAGATTGAGAAGCTAACCATATCCATGTTCACGTTCCTTCTCCTTCCTCCTTCCAGTGCAATGCAGCCTGAATCCAAAATAGCACTTGAGAAGCAGAAGACTTCTTGATAAATATCATTTTATACACTGCCACTGAAAGTACCTAGATAATAACAAAACTTCTTTTGGCATGCATGTCAAGTTAGGGTGTTATCCAGTTTGAGAAGAATCTAGGGCATGGATAAAGCAAACGTGAACCCACTTCCACAGTAAACTCTGATTGATGTAGCTTCATTCAGATCACAACCGAGATTTACTGTAACAGGACTGATTCGGTCACAAGTATCCCCTAGGCCAAGTTGACCATGCTCACCCCAACCCCATGTCTTTAGTTCTCCGTTCTCTAAAAATAAGAATGAAGTCAGCACCTTTATGTAATTGTAAACTTGCAGAAAAGCAATAATAGAACTACTTACCTGTGACCAGAACGGAATGCTCAGCTCCAGTAGCAATATCAGCAATCTTCGTCTCATCAAGGCCAGGGACTTTCTCCAATCTGGCTTCTCTTAACTCTACTACAAAATAATAAAGCATAAGGTAATGCTATTTAAACAACATTTTACATAACACGAAATCTCGCATTTTTCTTACACCATTAAATTTACATCTGAATTTATGCAGCTTTAAACCATTTTTTTTTCACAAATTTACATCTATCTTAATAGACACATTAGTTGCCTCTTTTGGTTCTCGACTCCATAATAGTTGTCGAATTGCCCATATGGTACTTCCCAAAAGATAAATTTAAGTTTCCAAGACTTTATTTGCATTTTCCCAATATATATGAATTATCAGTAAAGTGGCCAAGGCCACGGTGATGATGACAGCGCATAGACAACTTAAATCTAGTAATATAACTGACATTCTGAAGGATTAAAGATGTATGCAACAAGAGAGTACGTAAATTATGATGTTTTTAAAGTCCAACAGTAACTCAAATGCATTACCAGCTAACTGCTTTGGTGGGCTCATATTCTGAAGATCACTAAGCACTCCAAGGTGGTTGCCGCCAACCATATAAACCTCCCCCTCACCTATACACCCAAATTTAACAACAAAATGCACACTTCTTAAACAGGGAAGTGAGAGAACGGAAGAAATCATAAGATTTTGGTATATAGTGTCAATAAATACCAGTCATAGCTAAAGCATGGTTCCATCCCAGAGTGGCTTTGGTAAAATTCAATGTAGTGTTTAAGCATTGAGGAAAGTGAGCATCTTCAAAGCCCTTGAAGCCTCTTCCCCAGGTGTAAAGATGCCCATCCACTGCTGCAACAACAACAACCAAAAAAGAGAGATGATAATGGAACTACTTATTGAAGAATATAATGCCACTTTTAGCCAACTATTTTTTTTATATGAATGTCACCAGTACCTATTCTATATGACTGACAATTGAGGAAAATGTAAATCACACATATCATGCAAGGAGGTGGTAGATTTACCAGATACTGCAGCACTATGATCTCCATTTGCAGCAATTTCAACTATTTCCACATCTTCAAAACCACTAACAACTTTAGGAAGATTAATAGATTTGATCCTATCTTTGGAGACACCCAGTTGACCACGCTTCCCGGAGCCAAATCCATAAACTTGATTTAATGGACAATCTGCATCACTATGACCTTTGGTAATTGAGAAGGAGCAAGATTGCAGTCTAAAGTAAGAGATAAACACACATTCTTACAGAAACAGAAACTCAAGCAGTCTAAGCAACAACTTCATCAACCAATCCAATACCTTTTAACAAGACAAGGGAATGGCGCATGCCACATGCAACCTGTGCAACATGCTGATTAACAAAGCATGACACTTTGATAGGGGAACAATGTGAGGCATAATCCCCATGCCCAAGTTGACCAAACGAGCCATCCCCACAAGTGAACAGGCACCCAGTATCTGGAAACCAATCAAGAACAAATCAAAAGGAAAAATTATTAACTCTTTCAAGCTTCAACTGCTAAGGAACCTCAACTATTCACTTTACAAACACAGTGGAGATAAAAACAGCAGAGTGCAAACCTGAAACAAAACCAGAGTGGCTCCAACCAGCAGAGACATGGGTTATGATGTAGCCGTCCAATGATGTTACAGTCTTGGGATACAAGGCGTTATTAACAACCTTCCCATGGCCTAGTTGGCCAGAATTGCCCCTACCCCATGACAGTACTTTCCCATCTTCATTTTTTATTTTTTATTTTTAATATTAACATCAACATAAAGGGCAAATTAAAATAGGAAAAAAAGAGAGGATATTTTATATTTTTAGTGTGAGAAACAAAGATGGGGTAGATACCAGAGGTCAAGGCGATGACGTGAGCGCCGCCGCATGCAAGGGAGGAGATGGAGGAGAGAGAGGGTTGGTGAAGGAGTTGAGGGAAGTGGTCGTCCTGAAGCTTGTTGGTTCCTAATTGCCCCTCGGTTCCAGCACCCCAACTCCATAGTCGTTGTTGTTGTGATTCATCCTTATCATCTTCCTTCTCTGATTTTTTCCATTGTTCATCTTCTTCCATCACTACCTTCGCTGCTCTCTGTTCGGTTCTGTTACTGTTATTCCACGAAACAGAGACCATACCTAATACGCTGTTCTATTGTTTTTCTTCTATGTTCTTTTTGTAATTGATACTTTAGAAAGAAAGAAAAAATTATTTCATTATCTCATACAAAAACAAAAAAAATAAAAAAATTTACGAAAAAAATAAAGAAGATTTCATCTATTTTTATGTATGTTACGTAAAATAATTATCTTCCTCAATATTTGAGAAATAAGATTTTTTTTCCCTGTCGACGTAGTTTAAATTCAAAAGTTCTTACAAAATAAAGTTTAGATATTTGTTCTTCGCATAATTGAGTTGATAATTTATTATTTTTTTGAAAACAAAAATTCGATAGTACATGAGATGAGATAATGATGAACGTAGAATCAGGCAATTAGCCCTTCAAAGAATTTTAAATTGTAATTTGAGGATAGTGAATATAAAACGGTGAAGGGTTAGGTTATGTAATTAACCACCGTTCTATTTAAAATTTAACTAAGTAAACTTACCTCGTGGTTTCATATTTAAATTGTATATAACTACGCATTTCGTAAAAAGTAGGCACGTATTATCTTTATAAATGAATAAAAAATATTTCCGTATCTCAAATTAATATAAGAAATTAAACAATATATAGATGAAGAAATATATGTAAACCTCCAAAAAAAAATAAATAAATAAATAAATAAATATATATATATATATATATATCTACAACGGACTGCACACTGATCCAAACACTTGTTGCCAATTTGTTGAACCATCGTTAGCTTCCTCAAAGTATTGCTTAATGCTAAATGATTCTGTCAGAAAAAAAGCTAATTCTACACATATTAATAACACAGTTTATTTATATTCTCTCGAAAGATAACATGTATTGAATAAATAGTATATATTTAATTATAAAACATATTTTACAATGTATGCATTTAATAATGTGTCATGGAAAAAGATTTATTTCTTATTTCTATCAATTTATATTATGAAATTGCCTATTATTTCCCTAAAAAAACAAAAACAAAAATTATTTTATTTTATTTTTAGAAAATTGTTTCAACGGTGTCTTCACCCAAAAGTCAAAGACTAATTCTCTCGAGGTGCAGAAATCACGCAATTGTAGGTACAACCTCTACTAACAAAGCCTTTTCTATACACACGGCCATAAATCTAATCCCAATCAACATATTTAAAGGACCCAACCTATGTAACACCGATACCGACACGAGACACGACACTCTGACACATTAATTCTAAAAAATGTTAGATTTCGACACGTTGGACACGTTTTGATATTAAATATTATTTTTAATTTATGTAGTGTATAGTATAGTATATTTAATACTCAATAATTTAATAAAAGAATGAAGTTAAACTTCTAACACTCATTAATTTTGCATAGAAACATAATATATCCCAAATATTTATATTAAACTCAATAAAATGATAATCGTAATCCAACGAATCTAATAGTTGAAATTAAAAACGCAACGCAACGCAACCTTTGAACCTTTTTTTGAGTCTCTACAATGCGTGATAGAGTGTCGGGGAGTGTCGGACACGATACGTCAGAGTTTTTGAAGTGTCGGTGCTTCATAGGACCCAACTATTTAGCAACTATACTGAACTTTATTGGTACAAAAATAATTTTATTAAACAATTTCTAATTGACCTTCGTGATCAAATCAAATTTGTAACCAATGTAAAAAAAAAATATCATTTCTTTCTAAACTAAAATAATCGGTTTGATGTATCTTATGTAATAGGAGATAAAATTATCTCTATACACACATAAAAACATATGTGGGCCATATGAAAAGAAAAGGATTCTTTACAGGTTTGATGTTTCTTATATAATAGAAAATAAAATTATCTCTTATAAAAACATAAAAATATATGAAATTCGTGTGGAGCCATATAAAAAGAAAAGGAAAAAAAAATAAACTTTATCCATTTTTAATTTTTATATATATGTAAGAAATAATTTTAGGTTTATTTTTTCTGAGTGACTGCAAATAACTTATCTACATTAAGCCAAAACAATTTCGTTTTGAGACGAAAATTAAAGTATTTTTTAATTTTAATTTATTTTAAATTTAGAATAATTTTTATCATTATAATTTTTTAATCTTTCAACTCAAAATAATATTATTTTGAAAATAAATACAAATAACTTATGAAATATTTTTATCCCCTCTAAAACCAAAATAACATTGAGAGCAATCTTTGTTCACAAAAAAGCAATGAGGAAAAACCGGAGCGTCAAATAAATTGAAGAAAAGAAAAAAAAAATGGTCAACTGCAAACTTTTGAATTGAAATTTATGTGAGCAATCATAGAAGAACATCTTAAATTTTCAAATCCAAAGAATCGACACGAGAACACAAGGTAAAACCAACTATTTACCACATTACATTTATGATGTAGACAATAAACATCACAATCACAAACTAAATTACATAATAACCTTCCATAAATTACCTTCCCTCCGGAACATACTCAAGAAAAAGAGAAAAACTACAAGTCTACAAAGATCTAAATCCCAAATTCGAAGCATTAATACAAAAAAAAGAAAACCCTATAAAATTACTGATTTTCAGAGTTACAAGATATCATCATAAGCAACAATTTCTCTACCCCTGAAAGGCACTTCTAGAACTGAGCTACCTGAGCTATCCTCACTTCTTTTGGTATTCCCTATAGCTGAAGCGAGTCTATGACCTCTTCCATGCCTGCTCAATGGTACCTCAGCACGCACAAGCTTTGACGTTGACCCTTTATCCTTGTTATTACCAACTCCTTCCCTCCACATGGCTAAAGGATCGGTTGCCCACAACACCTGAACCTGTTACATACAACAATCTCCTTCAAATTTCACACATAAGTACTATAACAATGCAATTAAACCCCTTTCTCCCAATTTTACATGAAATATACTAAACAGAAATCTTTGGTTGGTTAACCAAAATTCTAAACAATTAGGCAGAAAATTTGTCAATTGTGTTCAATTTCAGGCTTTATCATTGTTATCTTCAACTTCTAACCATCAAATTTTCATCAAGCCCAAAACAATTGCACTGAAAATTTGTCAGTCGTGTTCAATTTTACGCTTCATCGTTTCAAAACATCATTAAAATTTTAAACAATTGCAATGAAAATTTGTTAATTTTGACAACGAAATTGCCGGATTTTCAAATGCGGATTCTGAAACCCTAGGTGAGAAACGAAAAAAGGAAACACCTTTTTGGAGTTAACGGTGATTCCGAAATGAGGGTCGAGGCCGGCGGCGATGGCAGCGTCGGCGGAGTCCTTATTCCGGTAGGTGACGTAGCCGACGGCATCACCGTCGATGCGTATGCGGGAGATGGGGCCGTAGATCTCGAATCGGGACTTGAGATCTAAGACGGAGCAGTCTAGAGAGAGGCCCATGACGACCACCGCGGACGGCGGCGCAGGCCTCGTCGTGGGCATATCCTCCACCGGGGGTTCCGGCAGGGGGCGGCGGCGCTTGGCGGCTTGGCGGGAAAAGTAGGGTTTGTCTCTCTTGCGACTCATAGTGTTGTGTGAGAGAATAGCTGAGATACAGCGTACGCAAAGTGATAACAAAAGTACAATGTGAAACACAACACAAGCGCAGTTTTAAGTTTTAACTAACGGAGATAGATACTCAATCTTAAAAGAATAAAATATCCACTTTTTTATATTTATTTTACTTATAATATGAGATTGTGATCTAATATGTTAAAAGAGGAGTAAATATAATAGATATGAAAAGATATAGACACAATATATTATCCCAAATAAAAATAAAGTGTATGATTATGTTTGGCACTCTAGACTTTTCAACTTTTTTGAATAAAAATGAAATATAAATAGAGAAGAGAAAATAGTTTCATTACATAAAAAAAAATGCAACAAAATTTCATAAGTGATTGAGTGTGAATGTGAAATGAATCAAGATTTATATTTGGTTAAGGAAAAGTTATATACATTTTGAAATAAATGAAAAAAAAGATCTATTTTATTAAGTGATTTATTAAATAATAGAGAATTGTGGAAAGGACCTATTAAAATATATGAAAAGTATTTTATAATATCATGATTGTATTTAAGAATATTTTATAGTATTATTAGATGATTTCATATGATTAGTTTTCCTATTTTCTTATAAGGATTAACGTTTTTTTTGTCACGGTTATCTCCTGTAATCCCAAAATGATATTTTTTGGGGGTTTAAAATTAAAAAAAAAATGATGTTTTAGTAAATTTTATGATATAAGAGGAAAGTAAAAAAATTTAAAATACCCTTTATTTTTAATTGTAAACCCCAAAACATTATCGTTTTGGGATTGCAATAGATAATGGGGAAGGTTATACTTACAACCTATTCTCTTTACAACCTCTTACAACCATATATCTTAACCGTTGATTTCCGTCAATCAACGGTTAAGATTTTCGCAAATTAAATTTATTAACTAATTATTAAATCACAATAAATGATAACCGTTGATTGACGGAAATCAACGGTTAAGATATATAGTTGTAAGAGGTTGTAAAAAAAATAAGTTGTAAGTATAACCTTTCCCATAGATAATTTAATCTCTTTTTGCTGGAGAAATACTATTCTCTTTCTTATATTAATGATTTTTTTTAAGAGTTTCCAACTTAGTGTAAATAATTGTTTTGTCTTTTGTACCATTTCATATTGGGGGTTTAGTGCGTCCTGTTATAGGATTAACTTTGGGCTTCCTGCAGAAACAACCTTTGCGTGGGACCCGCTATTTTTAGAAGAAGAAAAAAATCAAAAAGTGTGACACGCCTTTCGATGTGTCAGCAGGATGGAACTTTATCTTTCATGCAACATAATAGTTGCATTTCCCTTTCATATTAGCGTCGTTCAAAGAATTGGCCAGTTCACGTGTTTATCGCGTTAAATTGCGCTCTTTGACAGCAAACACATTGTTTTCGTATTTTAGGGATAACTTTAGTTATTCTCGTCTGATTAATGTGATCTTGTCTCATTGAAAGATAAAAGAAAGATATATAACTTCTATGAAAAACACAGATGTGTCAGCAGGATGGAACTTTATCTTTCATGCAACATAATAGTTGCATTTCCCTTTCATATTAGCGTCGTTCAAAGAATTGGCCAGTTCACGTGTTTATCGCGTTAAATTGCGCTCTTTGACAGCAAACACATTGTTTTCGTATTTTAGGGATAACTTTAGTTATTCTCGTTTGATTAATGTGATCTTGTCTCATTGAAAGATAATCTTGTCTCATTGAAAGATAAAAGAAAGATATATAACTTCTATGAAAAACACAAGATCTAAATCCATCATCTTTGATACGAAAAATCGGCCAGCAAACATCTTTAGGGAGATTTTCACTAAACTGTTTCTCCTTATTTATCACATTAAGTCCTTCTAACTTAATTATTGGTACAATTCAACTCAATTGTCCTACAAAAGAAAACAAATTTTTTTTACATGAGTAAATAATTCAAAGCTAATGTTTTTTGACCAAATAACTTTAAATTTTTATGCTTTTGATATCTAGATATAAAAGTGATTTTAGTACTTAAAAATATGATAAACTATGAGTTTATCACTCTTTTATATCATTTTGTATTGTATTAATCACATCAATCTATAATATATTTCTATCTATTATTCTCTTCATCTCCTTCCTCCCTCTATACCCATATCCCAATAATCTCATCAAGATTATTTACCAATTTGTAAAAAGCTTGAGTCTGCTTAAGAATAGAGTTTTAGGTGAATGAATCTAATTAATTTAAGACATACAACTTTGCAACATATAAACAATTACAAAAATAAAACCATTCATTTTGAAAAAGAATGGAGGTTGTACAAGCTTTATAGGGAGATCTAGGAACAATGAACAATTGATTGAACAATACTTTCATTTACCATCGGTGCTAATGTTGGCGTGTTTAGGTAATACAACTGTCACAAATACCTTCTTTTAAAAAAAAAAAACAATGTGACATTGAAATTTTATAGATCACTGTCAACCTCATTCCAATTATTCTTTAGCTAAACACCGTATAGATTTACCTAGAGAATCTATTTTCATTGTGATATATAAGGTCGCCTATCTATCCACATATAGAAATAACATATTTTTCTTATTTTGATCAATGACCAAATAAATTTACCTAGACTTTTTTTTGCAAGCAAAATTTGAGGCTACTAAAGTGATCCAATAGCTCTTTAAATTTGTCAAGACTAAGTTTAGTGTTATTATTAAGACTACCAAAATACCATAATGACACAATTCCATGAAAGATGAATAGGTTTAGAAATCTAATTATAATTGAGTTTTAGTTCCACATCTCCTTAATAAATGCACCATTGAGTTCAAATGGGTGTATTAAGTTAATTATCATCAAGATAAGGTTGGTAGTTGATGAGCCTTTAATAAAATATCTAAACTTATTAGTTAGGAAGTAGTTATATATAGATGTTTAGGGTGTGGTTTCTTTAGACATGGATTGAGTGAATTTGGAGTGAGATTTGGGGAAAGATCTATAGAGATATCTTGAAACCTAGGTATGTTGGCTTTGAGGGGGAGTTGATGTCTTTTCGATTTATTTTCTGCCATTAGTATTTGTAAAGAGCTTGTCTCCATTTATATTTTTCATCAATTTACAATCAAATTAAATGTTATGCTTCGTTACATCAATTTTTCTGATACCAAAGTGATAGAACCAAAAAAATAACACTAAATTTGAATGTAAATTGATGAAAAACATAAATGGAGACTAGCTCCTTCACAGAAAATAAACCCAAAAGACCTCAACTCACCCTCAAAGCCAACATACCTAGACTTCAAAAGATCCCTAGAGATCCTTCCCCAAATCCCACTCCAAATTCACTCAATCCATGCCTAAAGAAACCACACCCTAAGCATTTATATATAACTATTTCCTAACTAAGGGGAAAGATTCGTTTACAAATTTTTTTTACAAAATTTTGCAAATTACACTATGTACTTCCGGGAGAATATAGTGTAACCTAGGTGTTCTCCCAGGAGATCATAGTGTAGTTTGTAAGAGTTTGTAAAAAAAAAATTTGTAAATATAACTCTCCCCTAACTAATTGGCTTGGATATTTTATCAAAGGCCCTTCAGTAATTAAACGTTACAATCAACAAGTTAGTCTAAACTTTATTAAGACATTTTCTCCTATTACTAAGTTATCCACTATATCAGTTTTGTTTTCATTGGTCGACTGCTATCAATGGCTGATCTCTTTATCGAGTATATATTATTTATGTTTTCTTACATGGTGTATTGTTTGAGAAAATTTACATGGAATTACCTTTGGGTTATCCTAGAGAAGGGGAGGATGTTGTTTGCAACTAGTTAAGGTTGTGTTTGGTGCACATTAAGAAATAACATAAGTTTAATAACACAGAAGAAATTTTTTTCTTCTCTATTGTTTGGTAATCAATACACAACATAAATAATTTTATGCTATATTAGTATATATATTTTTATATAGTTAGTTATCTTTTTTGTTACCGTGCTTATAGGCATTCTGTCATGAGCTCAATCCACTTTTTTGCACATTTTGTTATTCTTTTTTTTTTGTGTGCGCCTTTTCTGTTATTGTCATAAAGACACACACTCTATTTTTTTCAATACAGATAATGAAATTCATCTTTCATATTCCTTCAATCTGAAGCTCTAGCCTCTAGTATGCTACATGTTGTTTATCACGCATAAAACGGGACAAAACAACACAATTTACTAAAATATCATTTGTATTGAAGACACGGCTCAACTTGAGACCATAGTAAGGAAAAGGTACACCATGGCACAAGAGATCCATCAAGAAGAGGACCAAAAGTGCAAATCAATTGAAGTTTAAGTTATTTTGGTGATGACCCATTTCGTTTAATGGCGTGCCTTCGTTCTTTTGCTTCTTCTTACATTTGTGACAAGTTTATAATACACTAGAAGACCTTGTAACAACAAGCACCACCACCTTTTTGTTGCTTTTCATATGTGTGGAGACGACTGTGGCAAAGGAGGCTGATGGGCTTCGTGTTGGAGTGGAGGTCACGAGTGAATCCATGACAAGGAGGGAGGCATGGAGCTGACAATATCTTTAGTACTACAGATGTACCGAAAACTCGTGCATCTTTTACTTATTTTATATCAAATCATTTTTTCTCATAATTTTAAAATAAATTATTTATTATTGATTTGACAAAAAATAAGACACGTGTTACCGTATGAGTGAAAGATGCACAGAATTTACAGTGCAAGCACCAAAGAAATTTTCCATGGAGCTTCTTCATAGTGTCAATGTTTTTTGCACGTGGGACGAGGTAGGAAGTGGAAGGAAATTATAACGCATGATTTTTTGACAGAAAAGGGACTCAAGCAAAAGAGGAGAGAAAAAAAACAATATTTTTGGTTTTTGAACAATTTTGCATTGTGGTACGAAAATCCTTCCATATTTACTAAGCAACATTTTGATTTTTGTTGCCTTTTACCTCTTATTTTGCTTTGTTCTGTAACTCTTTTTAAAATCAAACAGAGAATAATGTTTTATCCGGTGAGCATTGATAATGTATTTGTAATTTAC